CTTAGACTAATAAGGCTGAAGCTGATGCACAACACCTGAAATGAGACAAGATTCAGAAATGCATGAATTGAGATTTGCCTGATCAAGTGCTTCATAGAGTCCAAGTTCATATCATATATGACAACCTAGAAAATTTTTAGGAACACTGGTATGGTATGATATGTTAACATTGGTTCCTGATGCCTCGACTTGAAACCTGAGCTTGAATATTATTTGAGATCTGAACATGCCTAGTGCTTAGTAAAAATTATAGATCAAGAATAAATCATGATCTCCCCTAGTAAAATTCAAGTTACATTTTCTTTTCAGTTGTATACTCTTAACTTGATACACTTCAACTGAAACTTGCTGAAATCATGCAAAGAGAACATAATTCTCATTATTTTCGTGACTTTTTCTTTCAAGCCGATGTCAGAGTATTTTTTTTTATCAACCTTATTAGAAATTTACCAGCAGTTTCATAAATATATGAACTACAGAAAACTTTGCAGTTTCTTCCCTTAACCGGACTTGGGAATCGTCTGAGAAGTCCAATCCGCGTGTCTTCTGATCTATATTTCCATAGAAACAGCTATCCTACTTCACAAACTTTCTATCTACTAGACACGGCAAGATAGATAAGTTAGCATCAATATCATTGTTAATTATTTGTTCTATTGTTGAATAAGACAATCGAATTGCTTTGAGGAGAAGAGTTAACTTTTAGTTATGTAGAAGCAAAATGTTAGGTATTGCCAAATTGCTGTTTTTATGTATATATTGCACTTTCCATGTGAATGAGAACATTTCTTTGCCTCGCAAAGAAAAAAGATTTGCTGAGTTGGACAGACAAACTTGCGCGACCCCAAAAATTGCGGTCTGTTTATACTTCCCAAAGTTCTCTTGGTGAGACATTGGAAGAGATGAAGCAAACTGGTGCATCTCATGTTTACTGAATCAGAAGTCAATATGCCTTTCATTCAAAAGAAAGTTGAATATGACAAATTGGATGAGTTTAGCATATGATGAAAATTTGGATGAGTTGCGCTAAAATATCTAAGTATATGACCATTTGAACACGGTAAGATGTCCACGATGCTAAAGGGTAATGGTGAACTCAAATCCCGAAACATTGAGACTACTTGCGAATGTAGGATGAAACCAATGTAAAGAAGACTAGGTGTGAGCTTGGACACCTAATTTTCTTTCTCTAGGAAGTATTTACATGAGGATCTTCTCTCAATGTCCTAAATCCAAAGGAAAAGGGGATCACAATCTCTCAGCTTGTAGATGCTCACCGATTTGATTAATGCATTTGGCCTTTTTAAACAACAACTTGCATTTTAGACCGTCAATGCTAGCTTTTGAGCAGAGCTTCAGCCTCATGGGTGGGCTCCCATAAAATTGTAGTTTCAGCAAGTGACGAGGTTATTGGTCCATGTTTGAGGCAGGAGTCTTCCAAGTAACCTGCATATCATTTTAAGCCATTAATTGACTGAGCAAGGAAGGTGAACTTTCTATGTTTTATCTATATTCAGAAATATTTAAGCATTCCATAAAGTTTTTTGAGACACTATAAGAACTGAAATGTCCAAGTCTTAACTTCAATAAAGTTCTGTAAATATCGGATTAGTAAGGACTGATGTAAAGATTTACATTTGTTTAGGAAGCAAAACTGGGGAATGCTTTATGAAAGTTAACGGCTTCTTTCATAGTAACAATCATAGAATCAACTGAGACCAAAAAGAACAATAAGTACTTTCTATGTACTATTTTTTTATGGTAGCTTTTCTTGAATCATACATGAAAGTTAAGGGTCTTTAATTGATACTCAGACAGAGCACAGAAAGGGACTGATGGGGCCATTGTTACAGTACCTTTTCCTTGCTTCTCAAGGTCACCACCCACAAAGAATGAGTAAACACGGTTGGCAAGTCCCTGCATAGCAGAATTCAAATAATTCAGGCATCATAACAATATTTGAGTTCAATTTAATGGGCAATCTTTGAAATTTGACTCGCAGCTGGTGTGCTTCTTCTGAGCATTACCCTAGAAAATATGTCGATGTTGTCTGTTTCATGCTTTCCTGTCAAACTTCTCTCATTTCTTTCTCCGTAGGCGCTAATGTGCTCCTCGTGGCGAAGAGAGAGATTCAGAATTGCCTTCTTTATCATTTCAAAGCCTCCCTCTCACTCATGCTTTTGGTACTATAGAAATCACGGAGAAAAAACACTATTAAAGTCCTTTAATGAAAAGAAAAACTTAATCAAGTCCATGTTATTTTTATGGTGTAACCTGTAGTTAGTGTGGCATCCTGCACCATTCCATTCACCCTTAGAAGGAAGAGAATATTTTTATCGACTTATGGATAATATGTTGCGTAAATGGTGATAAAGAAGTCAGCAACCTCCATTGGCTACGGATCTAACACGAGGACAACACCAGCTTGCTCAGTTATTCTATGCCATATAAGCAACATAAACAATTAAGTATTTGAAACTGTAGGACATGTCTGTATGCACTTAATTCTGTTTGCCGTTAATGACATTCGGTTATTTTCTTGAGCAAGTAATTGTAATTTCTCCTCGAGAAGGTATCTCGAACACCATATATAATCTCCCGCTTCAATTCCCACGCTTGGTCCCTCTTGGTACTCCCATTGCACGATAGAAGCCAGAGTTGATGGCAACAATTTTGTGCTTTGTTTTTTTTTCGTAAAAACAGGCGAGATGGCAATATATCTTATTGTCGCCATTCATACCCTTGATTTGCTGCCCATATCAATGCCAGAACCTCCGATCCTGTCTCATATTTAGACTTACATCAAAACGTTAAACAAGATTTGCTAGTGTAGAAATTGAAATACAAAAAAAAGGTGTCACTTATTGAACGTGCATAAAACATGACATATTTATTCTGATGGTAGATTGAAGAAAAATTCTAACTTCTAATCTCAGTACAGAATAGTTCAAGTATTATTCATCTTTTTGTGCACCGCACTTAAAGGTTTTAGGCATTAGAACATACCAAATGTGATTTGCAACTATCGGATCGGTGTAGGGCATGACGTTCAAGTTAAGAAGACTCTCAAGCCTGTAATAGTAGTGTTCTCAGACTTCAAAGCATACACCCTAAACTTAGAAAAGCTCTTGGTGCTTCCACTCTTCTTCTGTTTTAGCAAGAGAGAAATCCATGTGTTTGCTGTCATGGGACTGTCGCTTTGTGATTCCTTCGTGATCCTCAACTGGCATTGTGTCATTGGTGCCAAAATCTACACCATTTCTGCCTAGTCTAAAAATTAAAGCAGTGTGAGTAATAGACATATCTACTGAACCAAAAATCCTGGAAGCTTAATCTCATGGAAGATAGTTAAACGAAAAGCTCTGTTTGTATAACTTGGCCTTCCGGTATGCATGAGAAATTAGTTTTGAAAAAACAAAAAAATGGACTGGGTACTTAGAAGAAAGGGTCTCTTTAGCAAGTGCTAGCGCCAAAAAGTAGAAAACCACTCTTTGAAGACCAGTTTCAAATAGGAAAAACTTACATTTTGCAGCATAAATAGAGAGTTTTATCAATTGCCCTAAGGACGCTACCACATCCTCCTTTGAAAATAAACTAAAAAAAAACAGTGGAAAAGCTATACTTATCCTTTTAGAACCATTTCAAGGTTATTCTCAGGCCTCATTCCCGAAAGAGAGCTTGAGAACAAGTAAAAAACTGACGGCAGTTACATAGTTGAAGGAAGCATACCGCAGAGTGCAACAGTTTAAGAGATTAATGGAATTCCACCTTACCAAGGATCAATCAGCAAACATGTTATTATGATATTTCATTAGATCTAATGGATGATCAACTCGTGAATCTTGACTGTGCACCTAATTCTTTCCTCTCACAATGAAAAGGCAATCACATTGAAGTACTTTCTTCTTTCACAAACTTCGCATAATTGCAAATTACCCTTGCCAACGGCTTTGGCGAAAATATCCATCAGATATCACCGTGGCAGAGTAAGACTACCGAACACAGCAATAATCAGTATGACCAATTGAAGTCACCGAACAAGAAAAATCTGAGCCAAGAGAAACCAATTCCACATGAGGTCCACAATATAGACTTAACATTGGTAGTGATTGATTTGGTCATCAAAAGAAACGGCTACAATGACTACTGCTCTGTTCATTCATTCTACCTTGCACAGCACACATTTCTTTTGCAAACGTTGTTTTGAACAAGAGATCAAAAACACGTCAATTGTCAACCAAACAAAATGAATAGGACAACCTTGCAGTGATCAAAATGGAGAAGTCATAGATTAGACTTCCAGTCCAATTGTCATAAGGCCACTTCTAATTTCAAACATTTACTCAATTGTTTAAGTTGGTGCTCAAAATTGGCAGAGGATTTACCTGAGAATCTCTACAGAATGAGTGACAAGTTGGGGGAGGGAAAACCCGTTCTCAAGGACTGGACTCGGTCTGATATATAAATCGCGAATTTGGCTAAATTCGTTTAGCCAAATTCGCAATTTATATATCAATTTTTGAATGAATGTATGGTTCATCTTTCTCCAAGGGGCTTTAAAGGCCAAAAGACCCTTGAGAAAGATGAACCATACATTCATTCAAAAATTGTCATGAATTAATTTTAACTACATGAGATTTATCATTTCGAACTTGAACCTTGGAACTAAATGGGTAAATCGAATTACATAGTATAAGATAAAAAATGTAGCCTGGCTGAGCATCATTGCAGTTCCACCATTGAAAAGCACAAAAGTAGGAAACAACTCTTCTATAGAACTGATTAAGAATATGTACTCCAGCGTACAACTCACGTCTGCAGCAAAAGCAAAAAATAGGGAGGTGGAGACATCACTAAAACGCCCCACAAAAAATTAGGAAAATAGAAAACTAAGTTGACTGAGAAAATATACCAAATATATTAGGATAATATAGGACCACGGTACCAGATACTTATCCTACAGTGGGTCATTACAAACACTCGAGGCTACGTTCCTAAAATCATAAAAATCGGCCAAAATTCCTGCAACGACATGAGAAAATATTATCTCGCATGATGCGACATAAGTTGATGCCTTTTTTTCGGGAAGCTCCGACTCCAAGGAACTGGCTGCAGATTACTTTATCACCATCTATTGTTGCTGCGACCTCTCCCACCACTGAAGCCACCGGAAAACGGGCCACTCCTTTGGCCAGAGAAACTACCACCCCTACCACCTCTACCCCCAGAAAAACCACCGCGCCCCTACCACCAAAGCCGCCACGACCAGCCCCACCGCCAAATCTTCCCCCTCTTGACTGGTCTCTCTCCTGGAGACGCGGCAATGTTGTTACCACCTCTAAGCTTACATTTGCTGCATTCTCATGACCTGCAACCCAGAGGAGTACCAAAATCAATCATTGCCCATATAACGAGAATTTAATTGAAGCGCTACACTAGGCTGATGGACTCACAGCATACTCTGCTATAATAATAGAAAAATCTACGAAAAGTGTGCGTAAGGTGCAGCATCACTTATTGACATTGGAGCGCTGATGAGTTCTGTGGTTTAAGTACCAGCAAGGAAAGTATCCAGATCTTCAGCTGCCACATCAAATACAACGCCATTTCCATCAGCTGTGAGAGTAAGATCCTTTGCAGACTCTACTTTTTCTTCAGGCAAGAATCTCCTCAGGACACCAAAAGCATACCTAAAAATCGAAGTGATATATAAGCCCAGAGTCAGATCAGGTGCGAATCGAATATAATACCAAAGCTAGAAGGGGGCCTGCCCTCACATCCACGCAATATCTACAAAGCAGTACTGCAAAGCAACACAACTTTTTGCTGACAGAGATCTTGAAAACTTACGAAGGTGTATAAATGGGCCTTCCAGTCTCGAGAAGTAAGGTTACATGGTTCTCAAGTGACGAGAGCAGTGATCTGCTCTTTATTTCACTATAATCCTGAAAAAGGAAGTGTACAGATTATATTTGTTAAATAACCAAAGAAAGAAGGAAAAGAGATGCATGTCAACGAAGTGCGATTAAAGAAAAAAATAAGCAATCAGCTTTGTTAAAGTAACCAGACGTGAGTGAAAAATAAACTTACAGGAGCCTTAGCTAGAGCCTTTGCAAGTAATTCTACTGCTGACATGCCAGACGTGTTCAGTAGTTGCTCGGCATCAGACTTAAATGCCGGAATAACACTGCATTTTGGAGAATATCAGCATCTCGTTGTTATAGGCAATGATTCAGCTACTCAGCAAAAAGACTGACTGTACCTATCAGAAATTTGTGTTATTGATTCAGCAGCTTCGATGCCAGCAGCTTGAGCAGCATTACTTGGCTGCAGAGCAGCCATGTGTTCAAATTTACACCAGACTCTTTTTCGATCCTAGATACGTTTGCCCTTCTTGGATCGTACAGCATGACAACTACTCCAGTATTGCCTAGAAAACATTAGTGCCCTCAGCATCTGGCGAGCTGCAGAAATAATGACACTATGGAAAATGCAGGTTTCAAGTTGAACAATTACCAGCTCTCCCTGTGCATCCAGATTTGTGAATATAGGCTTCAACGTCCCAAGGAGGCTTGCACTTAAAAAAAAAAAGGCCAACTATCAGCACGACTGCATTTAGAAAAACAGCAAATCAAAACATACCATATACAGCATACCTGGATAATTAACTGGACATCATTGATGTCCAATCCTCGTGCTGCCACATTCGTGACCACTAATGTCATAAACTTGCCAGACCTGAAACCAGCAAGTGTAACCAGCACTCAAGAGGCAAAGTTTAAGCAAGGAAAAGCATGTCATTTGTCAATTAAAAGGCAAAAAAGGTTTCAACCGTTTTAATATAGATGGTCATTGGTCGCCATTCCGAGCGTGTGGCCGGGTTGACTTTTACATTTTGTTTTTTCTTAATATATATCTTGTGGCTTGCACACACATTTTTAAAATCTTAAAGTCTTGAAATTATCACTACACTCAAGTATTGACACTTAAATTCAGATATGATTTTTCATAGTTTTTCTCATATTAAAATAATATTTTAAATTTTGGCGGGAAGTACTCTTGGCTTTTGCTTATGTGTAACCAAACATGCCCTAGATTGTGAAAGTTAATTTCTAGAAATACTCGCATACACAAAGCCAGAGAATAAGTGACATACAAGGAACGCATCACTTAAACAGATAGCCCCTGTAAATAAACAAAAGAATATTGTTTCCACAGTCATGATGCTGGACCTACCAATGAATCAGATCCAAAAACAAATACTAATAATTCATTCTATTGAAGCTTGTACCTGTGTATTCATCACTTGAGAATAAGAGGGTAGGCACCCCACTAAAAGAATCAGCCACCTTTATTCACTGAAAATATTTTATAATGAAAGGGAATTTTTTGCTACAGACCAATCTCTTTGCCTCTGGATGTAACATTTATATCCCGTATCATTTATAGCTTGCGCAACTACCACACGTCATTAAATCAGCACTCTCCAAGGAAATGAACTACTAGGCAAATTAAGTGGGTTGACTTGTAAACATAGTAAGGAACTCGCACAACATTGTCACCCACTATCTGTGGTTGACAACTGGAAAGCAGGTAAACCAACATTCCTAGTCATGTAATTCAGTATAACAAAGCATGCTTTCTTTTCTTTCTTCATCTCCTCTCCAGTGTGTTACGACATTAACACTCTTACATGAAATAATACCTATAAAGATTCTGCATATTCATCATTTACCCCTCGTTGGGTTTCTGCATATTCATCATTTACCTCTCGTTGGGCTTGCTGTATGTCCCCATGCAATGGCCGAGCTCCGGGCAACAATCCCGAAAGTTGAGAAGCACATTCCTTTGTCTCAGTAAAAATTATGGTACGGCCTCCACTAAAGAAAATCCAACCAGAGAAGAAAGTTTAAAGACTCTGTAGTATATCTCATGACCAACAAAAGAGCACAGCATTAAAGAAATGGAAATGGAAACAATTAACCTGCCGTAACAGCGTATTATGTCTGGGATAACCTGAGATGTAGCCGAGCTTGTACAAGGGATAACAATATGCCTAACATTGGTGCTGGCCTTCATTTTCTCATTCCCTACTAGAGCTACAGTTCTCTTGTTTTGTTTAAGGAACCTGGAAGAAATCTGGAAATGCAAAGTCACGGTATCAGGAAATTGAGTGAAGATAAGTTTGCACGACGGCAAATAAGGAAAACCAAACATTCACAACTAAGATACAAATTCAGAGCAACAAAACAAGTCATTTGTCATCAAAATTGGATCTGAGACAAGAGTGGATACAAGAGAAATCGAGTCTACATGAGGTCCATAACATATACTTAAAATTGGTAAGATAGTTATCAAAAGAAAAAAAACAAGAAAGACTACTGCTTCGCTCATTAATCCTGCCTCACACAAACGCATTTCTTTTATAAACATCGTTGTCACAAAGAGACGAAGAATATGTCATTTGTCAACCAAACAAAATGAGCAGGACAACCTCACAGTGATCAAAATGTAGAGACATAGATAGACTCCGAGTCCAACTGTCATAAGACCTCTTTTAATGTCAAACATTTACTCAATTGCTTAAGATGGTGCTCAAAATTGGCAATGGACTTACCTGAGAACCTCTGCAGAATGGCTGAACAGCAAACCAAGAATGTGCATTTCCCTTCTCTCTCTCTCTCTCTCTCTCTCTCTCTCTCTCTCTCTCTCTCCCCACCATTGCATTTCCTTTCAAATTCTTCATAGAGAGACTTTAGAAACTCTACTGTGATACAAAGCCATTTGCAGCTTTTAGTTTACACAGTGTTGCTGTCAAATGCTAACAATAAGATCACTTCGGTACTTGATCCATAGTAATTCCACTTTGGAAGTTTAGACAGGTGCTCAACAGGTCTAGGGATCGCTTGATTTCAGGAATTAATAAATCAGTAGCATGTATCATGTGAAAAGAAAAACGCTACATATTTCATTGTCGCCATTCATACCCTTGATTTGCTGCGCAGATCTATGCCAGAAGCTCCGATTCTATGGGAACACATTGACATAAAAGTTATTTTTAAGGGAAGTAAACCAGAAACCATTCTCGAGAGGAACATCTCATCACTCCATCTACGAGAGTTTTCCAGAATCATTGGACTGTGCAGGCATTTCACTCCTTGTGAAATCAAATAAACAGATTGCAACACTATATCTACAGCACGAGTCACGAGCCAGATTTAAGGAGCTCGGAGTTGGATGAGGAGTATGAATTTTTCTTCGTTTTTCTCGCACGGATGGGGATAAAGCGATGTTCCCACACCCTGTGAATACCTGCATTCAAGGACATGTCCAAACCTTTCAGCGATCTGTCCCATGTCCCCGAATCGAGAAATTGTTCATGAAAAAAGGTCCCACGTACCTTTAGAGAGAATATTAGGGATCGTGAGATATGTGCGGGAAATGAGCAAATCTTGTACCAGCGATCTGTCCTCCCCTCTCTTCAACGATCTGCCCATGTCCCCCCAGAATCAAATCAAGTAATCGAAACACACAATTCGAGAATTATTCTTCATGTAAAAAAATCTGGGTGAAAAGGTCCTCGCATACCTTCAGAAACGAAAGAGAGCTCGTGAGTTATGTGGGGGATATGAGCGATCTTGTCCCAGTCCTCGCCTACATCTCTCGTGCACCACCTCTCCAATTCTGGGCAATCGGAGATGTCTAGGTGAGTAAGGGACGCAAGCCTTCGCATTCCTTCGGGTAATGACGTCAACGAGGGGCACTTGATGATTTCAAGCTTCTGAAGTGATTCAAGAGCCACGATCTGCTCTGGTAATTCCTTCAAATTGTCGCAACCCCAAATTCTGAGCCACTCGAGATTGCTGAGCTGGAGAAGCCACTGTGGGAGAAATGCTAGTTTGGGAAGGCGTTCGATCCACAGGGACCGAAGACTGTGATGGAGTCCTCCATGGAAATCCAAGATGAGGTTGTTGTTGTTGCCGCTCTCGTCTTTGCATAAATCCAGCTCCTCACAACTATTGATAGAGAGACGCTCGAGATTGCTGGCCTGGAGAAGCCACCGTGGGAGAGATGCTAGTTTTGGAAGATGTTGGAGTATCACGGAGCGGAGATTGTGAAGTTCCAAGATGAGGTTGTTGTTGTTGCCGCCGCTGCTTTCGACGTAATTGGATAAATCCAGCTCCTCAGAATCCGAAGAATGGAGATCCACCAGGTTGGATTGATGTCGCGTACCCAGTGGTGGTGGTGGTGGTGGTGGTGGTGGTGAGAGGGAAGTTAACCGAGGACATGAACCGATGCTCAGAGATTCGAGTGAGGCGAGACATTTCCAGCACTCCACGGGCACACATTCTAGAGACTCCATCCCCCATATTTCCAGGCTCTCCAACTTATTAAGGTCAACTATCATATTTATCAACGCTGGGTGGGACCAATACAGGCTTAATCGCTCGAGATGTGGAGCTGGTGGCATGGCTTTCAATTTCATACAATCATAGATCTTCAATTCCAATAGACTAGGAAATGATGCCGCTGAAGTGGATGAATGGTCCGACTCGATGTATTCCAATTCAGTCAGTGACGAAATCTCTAAAATCTTGAGGTGAGGTAGTTGGCCCACTGGAGGGAGATGTTTACATGTTCCGCAACCGACGAAGCGTACCTCAACTAATTTTGGCAAAGAAGACACAAGGCTATCCGTCATCCACCTTGGAAAGCTCTCACCTTTATATCCTTTAATCCTCAACTTCTGCAGATTTGAGTGTGGCCTCAGTCCATCTAATAGCATTTCATCTCCATTCCCAATTACTGAATCATCAATATCGGAATCGCCCCATTGAAGTTCCAAAGATTCCAGAGAATGCTTCCCTATCAAGTTCGCAGCCTTGGATTCTGCTTTGACATCTGTCACACTTCCCAAATTCTCAATGCAAAGGCTTCCCAGGATGTTATTAAGCTCTTTTAGCTCCCCAATTTCACAACCATTCTTAGCAAGAGCTTTTTTTGGGGGCAAAATGAAGCGCGTTAGCCTATGTAGAGAACTCAATTGCCCTAGTCCGCGTGGCAAATAACTAAGTTTCTCACAATAATCTATGTCTAGATTTCGAAGGCTGACTAACTTCCTTATATCCCTTGGCAATTCTTCAAGGGCCCTACAACCACAAAGATTAAGTGTTTGCAAATTCTGCAATCTCGTAATGGATTTAGGAAGCCTTTTCAGTTTATAATTGCCAGAGAGGTCGAGATATGTGAGATATTTCAACTTACAAATGGACCTTGGCACCTTCTCAACATTATTTTCATGCAAATCCAAGACGCGTAACCTCTTGAAACTTTGAATGAGTTGGCGTAGATCTACTTCACTCGTTGGTTCCATTTCCCAATGACTCTTAGTAGACAGAAATGTTCTCAATGCACTTGCTTTCAAGCATGAGATTGGAATTTCACCCATCAAATCGAAAGTTGAACCATATGATACGTGACGAGTTCTTTCGTGTATGGATTTTGTGTCATCCCATGCCACCCAACACTCGGTCCCGGCAACTGAGCAGGCTAGATCATGCATCAGATCATGCATCTTGCAAGTCTCCTCGTCTTTTTGAAAATCTTGGAAGAAGTTGCTCCAAAGTAGATCCATGAAATAGCCATGAGCAATGTCTTCTAAATGCGGACTTCTATTTGATGGCTGGATAAATCCTTCGGCCATCCAAAGATCGACCAAAGTCTGCTTCTTTATTTCATAATCTTTGGGAAACAATGAACAAAACGCGAAACATTGTTTCAAATGTGAAGGAAGATGGTCATAACTAAGCTTAAGTATTGATATTATGCCGTGTTCCCTTTGGGACACATCTAGGAGCTCTTTTTCTTTGAATTGCAACCATTCGTGCTTACTCTTCTTAAAGAGTAAACTCCCAATAGTTCGAATTGCCAATGGAACGCCGGAGCACTCTTTAACTATATCTTTACCAATAGCTAGCATGTCAGGATCTTGTATCTCCTCTTCTTTACAACAAGCCATTTGCATGAGTAATTCAAGAGACGCACTTTCATCTAACCCCTTGAGAAGATGAGGCGAAGCAGTGCCGGTGATCTTCGCAACCGAAGTAAGGCGTGTAGTTATGAGGATCTTGCTTCCTCCAGCACCTCCCAACAATAAAGTTTTCAAGCTCAGCCATGTTTCTCGTTCTACATTCCACACATCATCTAAAATTAAGAGGTATCTCTTTCCATCAATCTCTCCCCTCAGTTCACTTTGCAACCGTTCCATCGCAACCTCGGTTGGTTCTTTCGTCTTTGCACAAGCTATCATATTTTTCACTATTTTTTTGATGTCAAAGTCATCAGAGACACAAACCCACATTTTCAAGTTAAAATGTTTACTGACAATGTTATCATTATACACACATTGAGCAAGAGCTGTTTTTCCAAGCCCCCCAATACCAACTATTGGAAGGATGGAAACGTTCTCTTGCACGTCCGAATCCAAGTACAAATTCCATGACCACCTTCTTATCTTCATCTCTCCCTATAATATTTCCCTCACGTATAAACGAATGCGTCTCTTCTCTCTTCCTCCACTCTCTCTCGGGGCGCTCATCCAAGTGGAATCCCTTATCAGCCTTAATGGCGTCGATTCTCACCCTAACTGCTCTTAGTTTGTAACTCATCTTCATTTTAAAAGCAAGCTGGTTTGAACTTGAGAAAAATGTCCTTACCTCCTTCATCATTTCATTGTGGCCCCTCAGTTCTAGTCGCATGGCTTCTATATTAAATTCTTCAAGCACGTCTTGTGCATCGTAGAAAGCTTCTTTCAGTTTATCAACCCAAAATTTAATTTGGGGACTCGGGTGGTATTGCTCTTACGCATGGGCCGATCTTGCTGAAGAGTGGAGACACCGTCCTTGAGCACCTCAAGTTCTTGCTTAACGCCCCATAACTTTCCAACATTTTCTAGTGCTTGAGGACCTAGATAAGCAACGATCTTTCCAGCAATACCGACGATGACAGCTTCCGCCATTTTTGTTCTCTTTGTTTCTCTGTGAATCAAAAGATATTAGTGCAGTAGGTCCAAGGCTTGAGACATCTCACGACATGTACAACAAGTTAATGTTGATGCTCATCGGAGACTAGCAAATCAAAAGCCTAACAAATCTAATTATCAACTCTATGACCGACTTCAGCTTATTATAGATAGGAATTCTGATCATCCACGCAAGCCTCAACCAAAAATGCAAACCCACTCAAGTCGCATCCGATGCCTGCAAGAAAACTGTTGTTTTTTTAAAGGCGTCATTCTTTACCTTTTTGTCAAAAGATGACCAATCATTTTTTATATTCTTGGGATGGATTTAATGTATGACAAAGTTAGTAACTAAGCTTACGTTATAAACTTAGGGAATGTTAGTTTGCTTTAATATTCAAGCACCGTGAGATGTGAGCTACGATTAATTAGCAACCAATATATATGGGAATATATAGTTACACATGTGCAATACACATTAGGATAGGAATTCTTTCTAGGAATATAGAAAGTTCTATACGTGTAAGTAACATAACAGATTTGTTCACATTCTGATGCCAACACTACACATCTCAATTCAAAACTCTCATTCATATTGTCACGTGACATTATTGCTATTATTTTACTAAAACATTACGGTTTGATTAAGGAAGTTCACTCTCCTTGCTAATCTCACAAAATCGTTTGCTTCCTATTATCAATGCTTCTATATTTTTTTTCCTTCCTTTATTTTTTCCTATTATCCAAATAAATAAATAAAACTGCCTTAAAGCTCTTCCCATATTAGACAATTCCAAAACTTGCACATTTATGCAAAGTAAAATCCTATATCTGTACACAATCTTTTACTATTTCAGTTTTTTATTGTAATCATATCGATTAGTTTGAAATCCTTTAAATAACTGAAATTTGTATTTTTTCTTTAACAACTACTATAAGACAAGTCATCTCTCTTGTCTTTTAAGTCTGGCTCTTATTTCTATCCCCCAACATATTCTTCTTCTAATTTAGCTCTACTCAATATATACAATCAAATCTTTGCTGAATTTCCTATCTGATCATCTATTTTTTAATCTAAAGTTATTTTTGCTTTTTCTATTAATGACAAATAGGCAAGCTTTTCTTACTTACTACAGCAACTTTTATAATTCTTTTTACACTAAAAAAATGCACCAATTATTATATTATTATGATAATAATTGTTTCTTTTTATACAAAGTATGAGTAGTCTTCTCACAATAATGTGTTGTGCACGTCGCGCATCTACTTTTGTTATATTGTAACATTCTTATCATCCCCCCAATAATAGGAATGTGTCTTAGTCATTACCTTTTATGCATTTTCTCCATGCATGACAATCCTTTTCGCATATTTTGATGAACTCTCAAGTAGGGTTGGTTTCATATTTAATAAATATATCATTCTTTTATACAATTACCTAAATTTACTAACAAATGCCATTATCTGGAACTTGTTACAGGTTATTTCAAATGAGCATTGCTCCATGCAAGAATGACTTGAGATAAGTGGCATGATCCTAGGTTATTTTTATTTGTTTGATATATTTTGGAGAGTTTGGACTTAGTAAGCTGAGAGCAAGACTCATTAGGAATGGCCCTACCTATTCCCTACACCTTTCTATTGGGCTTGGTGTTGGCCTATGTCCTTTTGACACATGGCTGTATACAATTGGCTTGAGTCTCCCTTGACAAGTAGCAGCCTATCCATATGAAATAATCCTGTTAAGCAATTATTTTGATCCTCTTACCATAAATACCCCATCAATTCACTCGTTAAGGTAGGATGTAATCTTTTACATATCCGGTGGATATTGAGAGAGCTGAGTTTGGAAGTTAGGACCACAATTAAATTGGGACGAAAGTGACAAGTTTGCTAGATATGTAAAAGATCACGTCCAGTTTAATAAGTAAGGCAAGTCGATGTTGTTGTTCTTGTATGTAAAAGATTAAATGGTATGATTAAGTTCTTTCCCACTTTGTTGGAAAGTATGTATGTACATTGGAGTTTTGCAATCAATGTTTGTCATTTTAAATATTTTATATTATCTATAATTATTGTATACTTACATAATCTAATTCAATAAGTAAGGCAAGTTAATGTTGATATATTGTTCTAGAAAAATTATATTAGATTAAATTAGATGATTGAGTCTTCCTCTACTTTATTCTATAGTAATATGTCTAATTGATGTTAAGGAAAGTGGAACGGGATGGAACTTTGTGATGATGTGGGCCAACCATTTAACTCCATTTTAATGAAGTTTTTTATTATTGATTGATGTGTGTGTATGTGCCTATATGTAAATATGTATGTATTACATATACTTAGTTTGGTTTCACAAACGACACATAATAAAATATAATGAAAGAAAATAATCATGATGATAAGAGTTGGCTTGGCTGAAATTTCTTCGGACTTGTTTGTTTGTAATTTTTAAAAAAGCAAAAATAATTTTTTTTTCTCTCTGTTAAAATTTAAAATATAGTTCAAGTATTAAAAAAATTATAAAAGATTATGTGTAATTAGTGTGAAAATTTCATATGTTTCGGACCAAAAAACATTGTTAGCATGCGTCTGAAATGAGATTGGATTCAAAAAAATAAAAACAAGCCTTTAGCTGTTTTGCCAATGCTTATGAAAGCATAGAGCTTGAAATCAGCCACAGGAGATGGACAAGCTTGAGGGGAATTCTCATCATCCACGCACATTACAAGATGAGGCCTAAATCAATGTGCATATAGGACCCACAGCAGTCGAGTCCGAGGTTCGTGATTAAAGGCAATGAAAATGCCGGTGAAAACAAATCACTAATGTCGCGCCCCGAACCCCACCGAGCCCGCAACATCCCTCCGTGGTCGTATTGAAAATGCGACGTCCCAGGACTCGTCGCCGACCCACGCGAACATCAAAACATAAAGCGCAAGCGGAAACGATTAAAAGCACCCAGACAAGATTAAAGACCAAGGGTAGTAGAACACTTGAACAAATGAACCACATATTTCATTCAACGGCACGCACTTACAAAATCCAACCTTACATACAAAGGCTACTAGGGTTAAAACCACCATCATCAAAAAGGGCAAGTGGTCGGGTAGGTTAGCCTAGCTATACAAAAAGGGTCCACCAACTCCATGGACTCCTCTTCGGGATCTTGCTCTAACGGCTCTTCCTCGGGATCCCAAAACGCTGTGACGGACCATTCATGGTCGGAGTCGGGGGTCTGAAATGGTTATATAATAACTATGAGAACGAGTCTCAATAAGCAACACCCTAAACCCTACCTAGGCCAATGCGTACCCAGACAAGTCTTACTTGCAATCTAACAAGTAACGTACAAAATTCACATCCACGCACTTACCTCGCCTCAATCCACACATCACCTCTACACGTTAGTCAAATCATGACAATGAAATAATATCCCGATAATATAACACACTCATTCAAGCGCCATCCACACTCGCACCCAACTAATCCAACCAAACATCCACACGTACTTCAAGCCAATCCAACCAATCACATTTCGCACACGTGCCCAACCAACCATCTCACAACTCGCGCCACTGCACCTCAGGATCATTCTCACAGCCCGCGCCACTGCGCCTCAAGCCCATTTGGCACACCGGCCATTCATGCTTTCACACGGACCGCCGTCAACACGTCCCAAGTCCGTAGCCCTCCGATCAATCCGGGCTCAATTCCAATGACCGACGTAAACACATTCCGGTCCAACACACCTTTAACAGGCCACCGTCAACACGTCTCAAGCCCGCATCCATTTGGCACACCGGCCATTCATGCTTTCACACGGACCGCCGTCAACACGTCCCAAGTCCGTCAACTTTCATTCTACAGACCACCGTCAGCACGTCTCAAGTCCGTTCTTACATCCAATCCACCACAATTTCCACAAAATGCACCATACTAAATCGAGCGCACAAAGGCCTCGATAGGCCATCGAACCTAGCCCCCAACACAGCACGTCCAACGCAATTTAGGCATAAAATCACACATGGAGAAAAATCACAAGTCAAACCGCCACTCAAACACACTCACTTCAACAACGAGCAACCAATGCAAATTGCCACTAATCGAACATTAATTCACACACGAACTATCACACATTTAAGCCCCACTTCGAGCACCAATCGATCTCACAAATCATCACACAAAACGGCCCTTGAACCGTCACAATGTAGCCCACGTTTGCACCACAAATCAGCCACCACACTCAGCCATAAACAGCCACATTCAGCCACAAAGAACAAGGGAAAACCGAATATACAGATTCGGAGTAATTCTGGGCCAGCGCACAGTTCTGGAATCCCTTTTTAAATAAATAGTAATTCAACTCCAAAAATTCTAAATTTTGGATATGTTGTATAAAACATCTTGATAAACATTTTCCGTGAAGAACTTGAAACCCAGTTCCAACTGTAAATACCTCTTTTTGTCACTTGAAGTTAGACGAAAATCAACCCGTCCGGTCAGGCCGCCTGACCATCAAAATGTATCTCATCCAGTGCCCAAATCACTTTGGAAAGCCTTGAAATTTTTATATGTCATAGACACAAGTGTTTATAACAATTTTTGTGAATAAAGTTTGTTGAAAAGAGGTCTGAAAAAATTTATAGAAAATCGGAAAGACCAGAAGGTCGGGTGAACAGTAAATCCGACAGACTGAATTCGGTTCAAAAATGGACTTACGAATGGCATTAAATGATCTTCAAAAATTCTAAAATTAAATTATGTCATACTTCAAGGTGTTATGAACAACTTTTATGAAGAACACTTCCTCAAATTCGGTCCACACAAGTCAGAGTAAAAATAGTAAAATCCAGCGCCGCAGCAGCAACCTTACCGGAAATCAACCAAAAAGCACCACTAAGCAAACCAAGCACAACCAGCCACTAAACCAACTATCCACGGTCATAATCCGCCCCTAAACATGTCCATTAGTAACCCATTATCCTAACTAA